GCGGCCCATTACCGGCCGCCTCAGCGCCGCCCTCCCGGCACTGGTCTGCGGCATCCTCCCGGGATCTCAGTCTGATCCTGTCTCAGTCTGATCTTCCCGGGGTCTGTCCGAGTCTGAGTTAGACTGGCTGGCGGCCGGACGACACGCCAGCCCAGCCGCTGGTCGTGGCCAATGTGTCGCAGGGCCCCTAGGCGGCACAGCTGAGCCAGGCGTGTCCCACAATCCCAAACATCGGCTCCGCCGTGGGCCGAGCGAGCCTGCTGTGTCGGAGCAGCGCCGCCGCCCGCCGAGAGCCGTGCCCGCTGGCCCGGCCCGCTGACCGCGCCTCTCCACCGTATGGCCGGCGCCGACCGTCTGGCCGTCGATCGCCTCATCTCCGGGAGCGCTGCGGCCCGACCCAAGGTCAGCGCAGGAGCGCGGTCGCCGCCGGCCGGCCGGCGGTCGGAGGCGTGGCCGGCCGGGCTCCGGCGGCGCCGCGCTCCGCCGTGTTTTGGCGGCCGGCGGCCGCGGCGCCGGTGAACGACCGTACACCGGCACCCGCTCCACGTCACGTGGGCCGCCGGCCATCCAGTGGCGCGCGCTCCGTCTGCCGGCATCCCAGCTATGGGGAAGGAAGGGGGCGGCGGCCGGCCGACCGACCGCTGCCCTGCGTCGCACACCAGCCGGGCCCAGCGTGCTGGCGCGGGCCAGTCCTACACCGGCCATACTCACACACACGTGTTTACCCGCGCTTACCCAGTAAGCGCGTAAATGCGCGACCCACCCACACACGCGCCGCAACTGCGTTGTGCCGCGTTGAAGGCTTGACCACTCAGCATGCTAAATCGTGTCGGGTCAGAGATGGTTTCCGCCGCCTGCTTACTGGGACGCTCCTATCCCCTGTGTCACTACAGGACGGACGGAGCGCGGATGTTGCCGGGACGCGAGGTGCGGACTCGCGCGGCGCCCGGCCAGCGGGGGCCGGCCACCCTCCCCTGGCACTGTCGGTTCCGGGCAGGTCAGCGGCGCGGCAAACCCCAATCAGCGACGGCCTCCGCGGCCGCCGGCGCCGGCGCGCATCGCTGCAGCACAGGCGGCGATATCAGCGGCGGCCCTAGCCGCTGTTGCGGGACGGCCACACGTGGACGTCGCCCCGGGGCTTCTGATAGCGCTCCGGCCATGGCGCACCGATTATCGCAATCAGCGCCGCTGGCACGTGAGGGGGGGGGGGGGGGGGCACGGAAGGTGTCGGCCGAGCAGTATCGCTCTGGCGCGATGTCTCGATACACAGGGATGACGACACCGCATGTCGGCACGCGACACCGCCGCGTCAGGACGCTTGTCAGTCCGACGGGTGAGGGAGGCCGCGCCGCGCCCCTGTGGACCCCAGCGGGCCGCGCCCGCTCAGAACGCACGCCGGCACGGCCTCCAGCCGCCCGTCATAAGCCCGACAGCCACCGACGCGGCCCCACCAGGGCCGGGCAGCGGCATGCGGCAGCGGATGGTAGCGGCGGCGGCGGCGACGGATGGCGGCGCACCGTGCGGCGCGTCACGCGTGCCTGCCTCCGAGCGGGTCCGCGAACTGCCGCCTCGTCCCGTGCCGTCGGTCTGGCCCGGGTGCGTCCGTCCGCGCGCCGGGACAGGCTGAGGCCAATCTGGCGCGGATTAACCGGTCCACTTCAGACGCGGGCGCGACGGCTGCCGGCGGTCCAACCAGGCAGCCAGCTGCTATCAGGACGGAATCAGGGCGCAACCCGCTCCAGAGCACCTGATAAGCCGCGGACATCCCGCGCCGCCGCGTTCGATGCCAGACGGGCGGAGACGGCGCACGTGTTGGGGTGCTCGTGGGTCGCTCGAGCCGGGCTGAAGGGCAGCCAGAAGTCACGGAATATACAAACGCATGTTACGGAGCCTGCCATAGAAAACTGTGTGCACTGGATTCATAGCGCTTCACATTCGGTGGCATCCCAGCCTTTGCGCATGCTGTACCGCCGTAAACCGCGCCATTCACACCAAAGCGTGCGGGTTTTATTCCAGCTGCCGCGCCGTATGCAGCAAGCAGAGCGCGACCCCAGAGCTGCCTTTGTTCAGCGCTTTAGAGGCGCAGCGGAAACTGAAGCAGCCAGGATCACGTTCCAGCACAGTCCTGGGCTGCCTGCGCAACAGGGCTCCAACATGGCGGCCCGCTGCAGCCCGGCGGTGGCCTTCCAGTGAGCCGCCAAAACAGCGGACTTCCGCACCGTTCGGACATCCAGCCAGGCAATGAAGGGAGCAAAGCGTTATCTGCTTTTCATCACCTGGATTTTTTCGGTAGGATCATCAGGCCGCACAGTTTCTTCCGATTTCACTCCAGGGACTGCGCGATCGTTAAGTACGCCATTTAACGCAGCGGCACTTCTGGAAGGGAGCACTCCTCGTCGCTTGCTCAGGGGTGGCGGATAGTTAGGACGCCTGGTTCAATCTCAAGGCGGAAGAAAAGGCCCAACAATCGAGGGTCCCGCGGGAGGTGAATACCTCAGTGATTCCCACACGTAAGTATGAGGCGTGAAGTAGTGGCGGCCCGAGGACACCGCCCAAATGCCTGACAATCCGGACAAACATAAGCTGACTCTAACGCGGACGATCCACCAACCGCCCAAGTCAACGGTGATATATCTGCGACACGCATGATCCGCGCCACGATGGTACACGCACCGTGTACGCACGCTGCGTCTCAAAAGAGCGCCTCCCCAAGCCTCGCCATGCACGCCAGTCGCCGTGTGTTTGATCGCAGTCATTTGTCCCGCGGACCTCTCCGTACCCTGAGCGTGCCGGGGGTCAGAGTGTGGGCCTGGGTGGGTGCGGATCCAGGACCGCACCCTGACACTATCCACACGACGGCTCGCCCCCTCTCGCGGACGCCCCAGTGGTACCGGCGGGTGGCAGGCGGCCTGTGCCGGTCCAGGACCATACCCTGGCACTATCCACGCCAGCTCGCCCTCTATCGCGGACGCCCCAGCGGCACCGGCGGACGGAAGCCGTCCTGGTGCCATCACCGCGGACGCACGGGAGCTGCTGGCCGCATCGGCCGACCGACAGGCAATGACATCAGCAAATAATACCGGCAATAGCAAACGCAATGTTGCTGTTCTTCTCAAAAGGATCACACGAGTGGCTTGTCTGTGCAGCAGGCCCCACGCTGAGTGCGCTTCGGCGTCGCTCCGCTAGGCGCGCTTCTGTGCGCCATAGCGGTGGTCTACTAAAAGTCGGCCACGGCTCGGGTTGGGCCGGTGTGAACCACGAGAGCAAAGGTCGGTTAGCATACAGCAGCCGCCGAGAGCACTCACGGCAGACAAGCCTACCGCACGAGACGTACCCAACAGTGCCTCCTTTATGGCGGCTTCATGAGTGAAGCTGTGCGGTGCGGCACACGGGAGAATTCGGGACCCTGTGCGGCACGTTACGATACGAACGCTTTGCTCTACATGACCGCCCTCCGCCAAACTCTGCACACGAAAGGCTCCGAGCCAATGCGAATTACCTAGCAGCACCCACTACCGACGCCAACAGCGCTAGCGCCGCCGCCAGGCCGGGACGGGGCGGACGGCGCTCGGACGACGTACGCTCCCAGACCGCCGGCGCTCGCTCCGCCAGCGGGCGTCCACCGGCCGGCCGACAGCCACACACGCTCGTTAGCGCCCAGCGACAGGCCGCGGGCCATGTCCCATGGGTGTCGCGCGGTGCCTGTTTTGCAATGCTCCCTGCTTCTGCATCGGTATGTTGCGACGTGTGATGCGGTTGCAACTGCGTCACATTGTCACCCATTGTTTGGCCGCCCTCCAGACTTCACAGAAGTTTCACAGTGGGGGTATGCTGTGGAGTCGAGGATAACTACATTGTCTTTTCGAACGGCGCATTAAAAAACACGCGAAGACCATGAGCACTTCGTGAGGGCACACCGCCATGTAAAACTTCTGCAAACAGTGCAGCAAGGCAGGCCACTCTATACAACACAGCATAAGCGAAGACCTCCATAAACCCAGCAGATCCGTGAACGGTATTCCACGATCTGACGAATCGTGACGTTCACACGGAGCAAAGTCATAGCCGGGACATGCACCCCGGCGCCGTGACAGCGGGCGCCCGCCGGACAGCGGACAGCAGAAGACCCGGGACCCGGGAGCGACACAGTCAGCCGCCGGCCGACGATGTGTTCGCTCCCAACCACCGAGCGGTCTGGGCGTTACCCTACGCTGCCCTGAGCGACCGACAGCGGGGCGTGAGGGGCGCATCCGCAGCTCCGCACAGTGAGGGAGCACGCCGCCGCCCAGAGGGACGCGCCGGCAGAGCACTGCGGGGGGGGGGCAGCATCCCCGGCAACAGGTCACAGGCGGTGACCCCGGCTGCGCCGAGGGGCGGCGGTACCACCGCTGTCTTGGCAACAGGTCACATGCGGTGACCCCGGCAACGCCGAAGGGCGGCGGTACCACCGCTGTCCAGCGTCCATCAGCCTAGCCGGCTGCCGCCCCTCTGATGTCGGTACGAGGGGCGTCAGCTTGCGCCCACACGAGGTCGGCTGCTGCTCATGAGCCCCCCCCCCCCCCTCCCCCCTTACCAGGGCGGCGGCGACACCGATGGGCACGGAACGGGCCTGAGCCATGCAGCCGAGCCAAACTGTATACTGCATTACAGTTTTCCCCACGTCCCATCTCACGGTAAAAGCCGGCAACGTTATGGGGTAGGCAGCCGCGGAACTTGGAACGGAAGTACCCACCGGGTGGTCGTCACTGGGACTTAAACATGCACTCCGCTGCTGAGCCTATATGGTGCCGCCTGTCTCTCACCATGGTTGGAAGGGTGGGCATCGCCGGGAATCGAGCCCCGTACATCAAGTTTCCGACGCGCGCATAATCCCTGCACTATGGGAAGCCTTACCCATCCAGGTTAGCAGGGGTCTGTCAGCCACGGCTCGGCGTTTGTGAACATACCTTGATAAGGAACGAGTTGATCCACTTGGTGAAGGTCTTCTTCTGGATGTGCAGCCGCTCCTCCTGCAGCGCCTTGATGCGGCCTGTCTCGAAGTTTTTGACATCCTCCTTCTGGTTGACATGGTCGTTACTGTTGGCGTCTTGATTCATGGCGGCGGCCTGGCGTCGGCCGCGGGCGGTCTCTGGCGCACTCTGTCGCTCTCGCTCTCGCTCGCCCTCACGGGCTCACATTCCGCGTCACCTGCGACACAGGAGGCGACGTTAGCCGGGGCTACCGCCGCCGCGCGATCGTCAGAGGCAGACGCCCAGCAGGCAGTGGACAGACGCGGACAGGGAGGCAGGAGCTAGAGGAGGCCTGAGAAACGGGGTGAGAGGGGGGGGGGTTCTTAACTGGAACCAGAAACCGGAGCGGAAACGACTGGCAGGTAACCCTTATCGTAGGAGCGCCGAAAACACACGAGAAGGAAACTTGAATAGGTGTGTCAAAACAGGTTCGAAAACGGCGCAAAGGCCTCAAATTTGGGGCTTCATTCAAAGATGACACTGGCGAGGCCTGAAAAAAACAAACATCTGCCCCGTCTGTCGCTCCTCCCCTCCAAACATATCAAGACAACTTAAGCTATTTGACCTTCCCCAACATATAACTAAATAAACCAATGATGCTCAATACGAACAGAACACAGACCGATCAACAAAAAGCAATTTCGGTAGTTGGGTAGGTGACGACGTTAAACTTAAGGTAACACTGAGCCCAACGCAGAGTCCAGCGCAGCGCCACTGGCGTGCAGCGCGGGGTCGCGGCCGGGCCGGGTGAGCCGGCGGGCGGCCGGGCCGGGCCGGGCCGGGTCGGGGCGGCTACCGTGACGCCTGACCGCCGGAGCCGGTCCCGCCGGTCCCACGCACCGGCCAGACAGGTATTGTCGGCCGGCGACACCGACCCCCGGGCGTTCCCATTGTCGGCGGCCGGCGCGGACGCCGGGTGGGAAGCGGCGCGAGCGGCGCCCCGTGCACCGGCCCGCCCGGCCGCGCCGTTGCCTGGGAGACGGGTGGCTCACGACCGAACGTCGCGAGTCACCCAGCCGCCGGCCGGCCCACCGATGCTGTCCGCACGACAGCGCTGACATCGAGGCTGCAACAGCTGCCGACAGCGCACGGCAGACAACAGGCACCCAATGCTTTTCTGTACTCTGCTGTTTCCCTACTCTGCTGTACCCACGCACCCGGCACGCCGGTGCGCACGGCGGGAGCTGGACAGCCTCCGCGGCCCGGCAGCCGGCGGCTGGCGGCTACGGAGAGCCCGCTGCTCGTGGCGCCGCGTTGCCAAAGGCCACGTGTGCTGCCGCCACGTCGCCGAAGGGCCAAGTGTGCCCCACGTCGCCGGGGAGCCACGTGTGCCCACGTCGCCGGGAGGCCATGTGTGCCCCACGTCGCTGGGAGGCCATGTGTGCCCCACGTCGCCGGGAGGCCACGTGTGCCCCACGTCGCCGGGAGGCCACGTGTGCCCACGTCGCCGGGAGGCCATGTGTGCTCCACGTCACCGAGAGGCCATGTGTGCCCCACGTCGCCGGGAGGCCATGTGTGCTCCACGTCGTCGGGAGGCCACGTGAGCCGTCGCGTCGCCGGGGGTGAGCGATCGGCAGATGATCAGCTGAGCAGGCGCCTTCGCTATCAGTGCAGGGCCACATAGCCGACCCGCCGCGCCGCTGATAAAGGACACCGCGCTCTCCCGACTAGCGCTCGCGGCCCGTCTCGGGTGGGCGTCGCTGAGCTGGCGGTGAGCACGTGCCGAAGGTCGTGACCTCCCAGCCATGACATCACAGCATGACGAGGACGCGGCCAGAGGCGAGCAGTGACTAGACGTTCGGCGCCAGACCTAACCCGAGTCAGCAGAAACCCCACAGCTGAGGAGCACCCAGCATCGAGCCATGGTTCTCGTCTGAGCAGACTGACATGGGTCCACGCGCTGACACCGAGCCAGCCGACGCTACGCCGCGGCACGGATCAATACGGCCGCTAACAGAGAGCTGACGTGTGCTGCTGCCAAGGCGTCGTGAATCAGTGTGTTAGGTCATCAGCCCTCCCGGCGAACGGCCCGACAAATGAAACACTCCAGAGCGCCGCGTGGTGAGACGCTCCCGATGAGTCAACCCCGATCGGGGCCCGGACGTCAAGCAGCCGGCAGGAGGCCCGTCAGCCGTGCCAGCTGTGCCCCCAATGGCGGCCGGCCGTGGTCGCCGCACCCGACGACGTCGTCGTTATGGGCTGATGGCGCAGGCAGCCGCTGTGGCTATGTGGCGTCGCCTGCCACGAAGGGCGGGCACCGCGGGAAACGAGCTCCGTATCCGACGGCGGGCCTGTGACGCTGGGGCTGCACGTCTACCAGACACGCGGTCTTTTCAAGAACGCTCGCAGGGCGCACGTGAAGTCAATTATTTCCGCGTGGCGTCCGTGGGTCCCGTGTGCTGTGGGACACGGACGTCGAGTGGATCACAGGCAAGGGGCGTGAACCCCGCGCGCTCAAGACCTGCCGGCCGCTCCAGTCGCGGTCGGCGCCGGCGGCCGGGCCGCCGCGCCGTGTCCAGAGATGACTGCGGCGAGCACGCCCAGCAAGCCATCACCGCAAACCAATCCGATGAACACTGGACGACCGCCGCGGTGGGCATCGTCGGGCAGTAGCGCGCGTCACCGACCGGCAAACAAGCGGAGCGGCACACCTTAACCACAACAACGTCTCCCTCTTCCGATGAGGCCGGCACGCGCATCGTTATCGCCGGAGCATGCCGCTGTCGGCAGCGGCGGCGAATGAACCCTGACGTAACTTTCCACCGCTGGGGAGACCCAGCGCGTGTCTCAGCCCAGCGAAACTAGCTCTGCGTGTCGCCGTGTTATTTGGCGCGCCCCGCACTGCGGCGCGGGCGGGGCCTGCGCGGCGGCGCCAACACGCGCAGGCACGGACCACCAGTTGAGACCGCAGGTGAGGCCACCGGAGGCTTCAGTGACGTGGCATACCATCGGCTGGCTCCGGTGACGTGGCGGACCATCGGCTGGCTCCGGTGACGTGGCGAGCCATCGGCGGGCTTCAGAGAGACGGTGTCTCAAACCGCCAGTGGGGCGCACGGCCCATCACTCAGCTGACTACGAAACCCACTCATTTCTCCCCTGCGGCCTGCTCCCGGTCGCCGAGACCAGTGGCGTCACCACAATGTCAGCGACGCCACCAACGCACCAACGCACCAGCGACGCCACCGACGTCGCTCGGAGAGACGGATTGGTGAGGGAATGCTAGCGTACGGCACCAGCAACAGATGGACACATTAACGCGGACGAGGACACGGTGAGCATGCCAATTGGATAGACGATGTGCGTACAATGCACTGCCATCAGATGGCCCCCGTCCCCGGCGGCCGCCTCCAGCGCCGTGCCGCCGCTCGTACACCGGCCGGCGGCTCAGCGCACGTGGTACGCCACACGGCTTCGTGCAGCCATGCAGGCACGCAGCTGTGCACGCTGCACGAGTTTGCAGGGTGCAGAATCGGCGGCGCTCACGTCCGCGCGCGGCGCGGTATTTGCGCGCGAGGCGCCGCCGGCCGGGCCCGCGCCGCCACGTGACGCGTCCACGCCCTGGTTCCCGCGCGCGCGCCAGTTGCGCCGGGCGCTATCAGCCAACGGCTGTTCAGGGCGGGGCACGGATGGCCGCTCGGCTGGGGAGGGGATGGGAGGGGCACTGACCGGACGGGCCTTCCCGGGGCGGCGGATGGTGCTGAACGAGTACGCTTGTTCGGCTGGGCAGACGCCGAGCGACGACGAAGACATTCCAACCTGTTCGCCTCCGTATCAGACATTGTAAACGGCGCTAAGCCTGCCACATGGTGGAGCCGCTCACGCAGGCGGCGCGTGCCAACAGTGCTCAGACCACGGCAGCTGCCCACCTTATGGACGTTGCAAATGGCGTGCACCATGAGACTACCGGACGAAGCCGTCAGTCAGGTGCCGTAGTAAACCCCAGGAGGGGGCGCAGCCAAGGGAGGAACATGGGGATCCGGGCTCCTCTCCTGAGGTCCGGATGTTTCGTGTTTCTCCATAGATGGCTCCCGACAGAAAGCTCAGTACCCCGCGATGCGTACTCGGCGAGATCCGGGCCCCTCCCTTAAGGCTACCCTGGCGCCGCCCCTCAGCCGAGGGGCTCGAGTGCAGGCGGCCGTTGGGTGGCAGGGGTCTTTGCCAGTGCCGGATACGAGAGTCGCGCCGCTCGGCAGGCGCGGCAGGCTGGCGCGCCGGGATCCGCGCCGGAGCCGCGCCTCCCAGACGGCCCTGCCGGCCTGACGAGCGGGCGGACGCGCGCACGCCAGTCCACACCTCGCACACTCCCGAGTGTCGCCTGAATGGTGGTGTGTGCCGGGTGCACTGACCGGGCATCAGAAAGGACAACACACGCACGACAACGGGGCAGCAGATCCAGGCCTCACCGGTTTCACCTCCAACGGTCATGCGAAGCGCGCCGGCAAAGCTATGTCGATAGTTGCGAGATGATCCCCTCGCACGCGACGGAGTTCCCCTGGCAGGCGGATTTCGTCCGTCGCAGCTGCACGCATTTTGGCCGGTGCAGTCAACCGGCCGCTGCCCGACCAATGCTGCCCATGGTCCTGAGTCGCCTCACATCGGTCAGTCGCCTTACACCGGTCAGCCGCCTCACATCGGTCAGCCGCCTCACGCCGGTCAGCTCCCTCACACCGGCCAGTCGCCTCACGCCGACCAGCCGCCTCACACCGGCCAGCCGCCTCACACCGGCCAGCCGCCTCACACCAGCCAGCCGCCTCACGCCGACCAGCCGCCTCACATCGGTCAGCCGCCTCACACCGGCCAGCCGCCTCACATCGGTCAGCCCCCTCACACCGGTCAGTCGCCTCACGCCGACCAGCTGCCTCACACCGGCCAGCCGCCTCACACCGGCCGGCCGCCTCACACCAGCCAGCCGCCTCACGCCGGTCAGCCGCCTCACATCGGTCAGCCGGACCCACACCGGCCAGCCGCTTCACACCGGCCAGCCGCGCGGCGCCGCACCTGTCGCCCATAGTGGGCAGCGAGCGCCCGGCCGTCGCGCGATCACGGTCAGACCGGCACCGGCAGCGCTGCTGTCGGCGAGCGGGCCGCCGCCGGCCGGCCGGCCCCGCAGACATTCCTGACAAGGCCAGACTGCGAGCGGCGAGCGGCAGCCGGCCAGCCGGCTGCCGCTCGCAGCGC